AAGGTGTAAAATTCACCAGTACTAGACTTGGCTATAAATATGATTTCGAGTCCTCAGCCTGAGTCTTCTGTAGCAAAACCACCAAGAATGCAGATTTAATACAAGCACTGAAATGTAGAAAGGAGTGCGCACTACTTGTATAACATGTAAGCAGTAGTAATGTAATATTCGTCTTAAATGTGTAGGGTCACGCCTGAATGCATTTTTGTTGGGGTTGTCAAAGGCTTTTCACAAATGACCAAAATCCCTCTTAGAATCATGGGCCAGGAGGCTGGGGCAGGCGTCCCATCCCATCCTGTCCCATCCCGTCTCACGCCTCCACTCTTGCAGCCAGCTGGTACATAACCTTGTTTGTAGGCTGCTCAGGCTTCATCTTATAATTGATTTCTCCCATCCTCTAGCACCTCTAGGGGAGGCTATTCAAGAGTTCTCTTCCTGTGGCTGCTGGAAACCTTTGTCTAAATTTTCCTGTTTAATTTATTTCTGAACTCTTTTTACCACTCCGCTTCACACATGAGTTTGTAGGTTGTTGCTGGCCAGAGTCTTGCACAGGACTTCATTGTACCTCAGCATTGTTCCTTAACACTTACTGGAAATTCCATACTTTCTCTGTCTTAATAATGAATTTGCCATTTATGTCTTGTATTTGTCCTGTCCTCTTTCTCTTCTGTCACTTCCAGTTGCTGAGACTCCAGTTTATGTACAGTTTGTCAGGCCCCTAAATACTCAACCTTAAAAAAACTTTCAAATTCCTTCCATTCTTATTCCAGTCCTCAAGCTCTGCTGTTCTTCCTGTGCAAAATTTCTGTTTGTGGATGATAGCACCCTATTTTGTGTTACAAGCCCTGGTAGTCCAGACCAGTTCAAACATGCAATAACATTTTCTTACTATAGCATTCAAAGTGAGGGTAGATTTCAGAACCAGCAGAGAGTTGCATTATGTTCAGTTTTCCCGATATGGAATACCCGTGTGTTCACACATGGAATATTCATATGAGCAGACACATGTGTGTCTCAGGTATTTAATAAATAGTGGATCATGAAAGTAATATGAAAAACCCCAATTCTTGGATTAAATTCAATAAAACAGCTTCCAAGGAGAAAAAAGGGTTGAGTAACTACTTCTTTTGTTCTCATTATTATGGTGGTTTGCTGTGTTGGGGTTTTTTTTTTTCAATTTTTGATGCTTTGTGTCCAAAAATGACTATGGTTTATTGTTTGTGATTTAAGGTTTGATGAATCAAAGAGCTTCTTTCAGCTTGAAACTTTGTCCTTAGTCTTTAATAACTGGATAGGCTTTTTTTTCTGAATTCTGTAGTACCAATTGTTCAAAAACTGGCAGATCTGGACTTTGCAGAAAATTACTTAGGAAGAACTCAATGGGAGTGCACTCTTCTGGCCAGGAAAATGGGCTTCCTACAAGAAACTTATCATCCCAGCCACAAATAAATTTTACCAACCTGAAAAGGGCGTATGCATTGTTAAAAACAAAAAAAAAAGTTTTCTGACAGCATTTGGGCCAAGAGGGGCTCTGAGATGAGCCTGCTTGCACTTAGATTCTGACCTAATGTACGGCATATGAGTAAAGAATTGGAGAGTGAATCCCTATGCCAGTGCAGATGGAAAGAGATCTCTGTTCTATAACTTACAATTTTGAAAGTGCCATATCAGTTAATAGATTGATGCTTTTGTCTATGGAAAGCTTACCTGAGACTGTCATTTAGAGGTGTTTTCTACTATTGTCATTGTCCTGTCCTCTTTGCTCTCTAAGGTTTCTACCTTTAGGCTGGTAATATTTATGTAGTTCGACTTTACAGAAAAATAGTGTCAATACAACTTTACAAAATTCTCTCAATGCCTCCTAAAATAACTTTTTTGTAAATATTTGTGATTCATTGTGGCGTGGTGATGGTATAAAGCTCTTACTGACATGACCTGAAATTCACTTAGAATAATGTGACTGTCTCAAAATTATTAACCATTCTGCCCTGTTACAACATCTGGGATAGAGTTAATTGTCTTCCCAGTTGCTGGCTGGGGTTAAACCACGACATCCATGTTTTATAGAAGAAAAAAACTATATTGGAAATGTGGGATTGTCAAACATTCCTAAGTATGTGTTCACCCAGGAAGGAATGGTGCCCTGCTACCCTGAATACAACTTTAAGATCATTTGGGGAAAATAATTGTAACTAATGTTTAGAAAAACCTAAGAATCACAATGTATTTCTCTATGTAGTAACCAAGTATCGTGTAGCTTTAAGAAGAAAGTGATTTCTTTTTTTCTATAAACCTTTTACTGAATCAGGGCCATTACCTGCCTGAGGGCCCTGGTCAGTGTAATCCTGAGAAGCTAAAGTTACTCTGTTCTAATACCCTTTCTGTTATTGGTCCTCTAATAAGAGCGTCTGTAAGTGTTTCAGTTAAAGTGAGCTAGTGATACATTTTTTATTTCATGGATATGCTTGCACAACAAAATCTGATTTCCTTCCACACTGCGGGTTTTCAAACAATTTTTGCATGGTAACAGCTTTTGGCTACTGTGGAATTCTTACTACATCTAATTCCAGGGCTAAAGCTGAGAGACTTCATCACACTGTTAGTCTTTGCCTGAAAAGAAAATGTTCCTTTTCCCTGCTTTACCAGTGTAGCATTATGCTCATCTTTGCCCCCGAAATTGATTGCCTGTCTGTTTTCTTGAGGGGGTCTAGGTGTATTTTTCACCACCAGCACATTTCTGCCAGATTGTGCACCAGCTTTGAGTCCTTTATTTCTTACGATGTTATGTCATAGAAATTATTGTTATTTTGTTCAGTGAGTGAAATTTACTTGTGTGCTCTTGAAGTAATGGAGTGCTATTTAAACCTTGTTTCAAGGCTGACGTTGAACTCTAGTGGTTTATATACCACCCTCTGGCCACAGAGGCGCTTTCCCAAATGATACGAAGGTAGATTTATTCAATTTAATGTAGTGCCATTACCATGCTATGGACCCAGAAATAAAATAACAGAACCCTACAGTGTTCCTCTCAACAGATCTTGTTTATATGTAACTTGACAGTAAAAAGAAGAAGGTGAGAATGTATAGCAATTCTGGATTAAAAAAAATTACATCTGACATGATGGAAAATTGGGTAGAAGTAATGACCAGGGTTTCTTCTGCCTATCTTTTGGTAGGGTTATCTGATAGTGCTTCTCTTGTCATGCTTCTCTTGTCATGTCAGGCTTTTGGGATAGTAAGAAGGTCAGGATTTCCTTCTAATGGGAACTCCAGATGTCATGCTTGTAGTAGATCATTCAGTAGTAGATCCGTCACCAGTGGTTCTATATATTTTTGGTTCTTTAAAATGTGAATCTACTTGATAAAGGAAATTTCTTTGAATGCCCTATTGCATTGGCGGAACCAATATTATTTTTTAAATAGTTCATAAGCCTGAAAGTTTGTGTGCTTCATTGTACAGTGTTTTATTACTATGAATAGACTTGCTTTTAATGTTATATTTAGTGTCAGTTATACAGCCCTGTTCGTTATGCTTTTTTTACAAAGTTATTTACGATAAAATTCAGAACTTCTACATGAAGTCTATTTTTTTTTATACTATGTTGGTTAGTGGGAAGGAGGAAATAAATGTGAAGACCTGGATTATAGAGAAAATTGCTCTTGTCCTAAGTTAAACAATGTTTTTTGATGGAGTTGCTCCTGTATAGTTAAAGAAATTAGTTTCCAAAACCTCTGTTACCAAAACAGATCCCTTTAACTGTGAGTATATTACATATAATATACACAGTAAAAGTCACAGACCGGCCCAAATCACTCATGTTTTGGAGTTTATGGGGGAAAGAAAAAGTTAAAAAAAAACCCAACAACAAAAAACAACAACAACAAAAAAAACAACAACAAAAAAACAATGGAGAGGAAGAGAGAAGAAGAGAATTCAGAGAGCCTATTAAAAGAGGAGGCTAAAAATAGAATTTACATTTTTTTCCCAACATATATAATAACTGGTTGAAGGATAATAGTTCAGGGGTTGTAAAAGGCTTACATGCTGAATAAAGTGTAAATATATTTACCTAATGCTGTTGGGATTAACTTTCCTTTGTTGAGAAGATGGCTTGATATCATTATTTGATACCTGTAAGAACTACTTCTTCCTATCTACCTGTAAGCAGAAACCAGACAGCCCTAAGAAAATATCACAACAGTAGAAAATGATAGCAGATTATCATAATGCAAATGTGTATTTTCATGTAATAAACTGGTGTTGCTTAAATGGCAGTTGAGGTGACTAGAAGGAATAGACAGTAGCATATGAAACAATGCCAGGTATACAAATAGCAAATTAGGGCCACTTAATTTTTCCTGTAGTGCAGGAACTTGTGCTGCTTGATAGAATTGAGAAGTGATACAATCAACACTGGGCAAGAGGTGTTCTTTCCCTCTCAGGGCACATAGCTGACTTGGACCACTCTCTGATGTCAGTGTAGCAACAAAAATCAGCGCGATTCTGAAGCCTTTTACTCCCACTGACAAAATATTAGGCCATCTTGAGAGCCTGCTGGATCTACTATGTCTAATGTGAAGATGGGAGGGTGGGCATATGGGTATTTCTGGACAGTGAAAAGAAGTAGTAGAAAAACTTGTAAAAAAAGGTAGAAAAACCTTACGGTTCTAAAATCCTAGGCATCCATTCTCATCATGTAAAGGTTTCTTGTAAGATACCTTTGCTAGCAGCAGTAACACAATATTTAAATACCAAATAACTTCCCTAAGTACCAACTTTAAAAGTCAGTGCTTTAATTAAAGCATGGCTATTCTGAACTAGTTGAAAGCTGTCTGACACAATTTGATTTTAGTTAGCATTTAGTAACCAGTGCAGTGCTACAACAGGACTGTTTTTTATCAGACGTTATCTTAGACCAAATTATAATATAAGTTCGACATTAATACCAAAGTGACTAACCATAAAAGAGAATAACCCATTTCCACTTTTCTTTCCCCAGACACCTGAGGAGCTAGAAGATGTATCTGACCTTGAAGAAGACCATGATGCACGTAGTCGTACAAGTATTCAGACTGAAGGGAAAACGGACAGGGTATGTATTACACCAGTTTATTTCAAAAGCAGTTTGATGAGGGGGAAAAACACTATTGTGTTGCTGTTCCTATGAAGCCACGTAAAGTCATGCCAGTGAATCATTAAAGTCTTGTTCAGCTCTTAATAGATTTCTGAAAATGTGCAGAGGGCATAAAACTGATGTGTATGACCTGAAAGAGAAAAAGACAGTGTAATTAAGTTGTAAATACTTGGCGAACATGTAAATTAGACAGAAAAATTCTTATACTTACTGAATGAAATTCTAACAGGTTACAGTTTCATAAATGTGGCTTGGTCTAATAGAAGCTAGATTAGTAAGGAATTTTTTGTATCTGGGTCTTACTGAAGCCTGCAAGGTGTATTAACCAAAAATAACCTCTACATATGAGAAAGTTCACATGCACAGAAGAGAAGGGGATGTATCTGGAATCTTAGCCACTGCAGTGCGTATGTTACAAACTTTTCCTGCTGTGTTGTGTGAACCTATTCTATAGTTTATTGCCTAACTAGTGAATTAATGAGGAAGCACGAAAAACTTAACAGAGCATTTGGCAATTTCTGTATTTCTGGAAGTTATGAATCTGGTTTTCCTGTTGTATCATCATTTAACCTGAGGACTTCACTACATTAGTGGTTTTTGTTTATTGTTTATATTCAAACATTTTTAAGAGCCTGAAAACATTTTTGAGATAGCAAAAGGTTTCTTAGTACAAAATTGATGTATTTAGCAAGCGTTAATCTTTATGTTTCCACTTTAAATAATGTTTCAGCAAAACTGTACTCTTTTCACAACTTTCTGAAGTGCAAAGATCCATGAGGCCAGAAACGTCTTACTTCATTACTTGTTTGCTCAATACCTAGAGCAATAACAGATCTCTCACAATTGATTGATTCTAGTATTATTCCCATAATGGAAATTATAAATGATAGAACTAGTTGGGAAAAAGCAAACATTTTCAATACAAAAAGAATTATGTCAAGAAAATGGCATTTTAATTCACATCTGTTTTTCAGCAAACACTTTTTTTTTTATTCAGCACAAGGTTTTTCTTTAAGACCCTAAATACTAACAAAAAAACACTAGCCAAAATGAATGCTGTTAACTTGTGTTGCATATGTGCATATCAATTATATGTTAATTAACTGTCAGTTGAATCTTAAAGCATTTTGAGAAAAATGCAACAACTATGTGAAAGATCACCTCATACAATCTTACTACTCAGTAAACATAATTGGCAATTAAAATAGACTAGCTGCCCTTTTCAATTTAAATTACTCTTTGTAAATATTAGCACATTTTCCTGACATTACAGGCTAAAATTTCTATTGTAGTTAAGAAGGGCAAGGTTTTCCTTCAAAATGTTATCCATATAAGATGTTATGAATTTGTTTGGAACAGGTACAGATGGTGTGCTTGCATATTTTCATAAATATCCCATAATGAATGCACTTGCGATTTTTCTCTCACTGGGAAAACAGAAGTAGTAGTTTGTAGATGTTTACTATCACAATGTAGTAACAAAAGATCCACTAAAGCTTTAAAAGATCACATTTTCACACATGGTCTTCCAATTCTCAGATAAACCAGGGTACTTCTTTAAAGGGAATGTTTTTTAAAAGAGAACCATAAATAACACATACTACCAGATGACTACACAAAGCAAGAAGTAAATGCTGAAGACTGTTGCAGGTAGTGAGCTGGCTATCAAGAGTCAGAGGCATAGGTTGTTGCTGTGAAGAGATATCCCTGGGATATGCTTTTCCTTGTACTACACACACAATATATAATCTGCACTGTCAGTGAATTTGGTGGGGACGTGGAAGGCACCATTATTTATAGATAAACTATGGTTAATACATCTGAAAAAACAGTATTTTAACAGTATAGGATGTACATTTCTATTTTTTCTTCCATTTGTCCCAAAAATAATACAAGTTCTGTAAATGTTCCTTTTGGGGGGATCTAGATAGCAGTCACTGCTTAAAGCCTGATTCTATATCTTTACTTGGGAACAATTTTCCTAGATTTCATATTATGCTATCAAGGCCATAAATGGCACATTATCCCCCAAATTAATAGAAAATTACAGCTTTGACTAAATCAGATACATACCTTCTCAGCCTAAATCAACATATTGACAGAAACCTTAACATACATTTTTTTTAAACCAGTGTTTGAACAAATCTATTTGCTGCTGCAGCAAACATGAACAGTGATTTAAGGCCTCTCTGCTTGGATTGCTATTTGATATTGATATTTGAAGATTTATACATAGAACCTATTTAGCAATATGAAGAATCTGATAGGGAAGATAGATTTTAAGGTTTAGACAGGGATTGTCTCGTTTTGTGTTCTGCAGCAGCTTTATGTGCTATTGTGAGGCTTCTTCATGCAGTGGTAACACCAAGAATGACTGTGTTCCAGAAGTGGTATGGCAAGATTGCAGAGTAACCTTTTTTCCTCCTTGAATTCTTTCTCTTGGGCATTTCTGCTATAGTAATTCAATTTTATTTATATGTATCTGTCTCGATACTAGTTCTGCATAACAGCACTCTTGATTCCTCTTGCTTTGTGAAGTGTGTTGTATTTTCTCCTGTGTCACATCTCTCACTGCTCCATCAGGGAACTAGTGCTTATGAAAGTGCCTTGTCTCTTTCTCTTTTTATCACAACATATAAAGTACGTAAAACCAGATGTGATGTGCATATGCCACTTGTAACAAAGGCTACATCTTCAGTAGGAAATCTCATTTTCCTTATGTAGGAAATACTCATATATTAATAACAACTTCTTCAAAATCTGTCTCTGTATATAGAGAGTACAGGTTAGTGGTGAGATAGCAGCACTGAAATTTGACCTCATATTTATGTTCCTGACTCTGCAAGTATATAGGTAATCTTGGAAGTGTTGAATTCATTTATCTTTCCCTCAGATAATTCCATATCTCTAAGATGAATATGATCGTGCTTATGGCACCATCCCACATGGTGAGATGCAGGTTAACTTGGGCAATGTGCTGTGAGATCTCTCAGTAATTAAACTGGATAGCAATACTGATTATTATTTGTAGGACTCTCTTATATCCCTGAAGAAGATCCTTTGGACGATTTATCCTTTAAAAGAGTGGTTTCTCTATGTCTTTTTGGTCTCTTTTTCTCTCCTCTGCATGCTCTTCAGCTGGTTAATGACTTTTTGAATTTTGTGTCCAGAGTATTTATATTGCTAAATGCATTATGCCAGCTGTGGTCTCAGCAACAAGCACTAGTGTAAGGTTTACACTATATTATTCTGTATGCATGCTTTAGAATGAGTTTTGTATGAGGTTTGTCTTTTTGCCAAGAGTACATTTTGATCAACTACAAATCCTCACCCACAGAACCGCTGATAACTTGGTTTTGTCTCAGTTCTGTGTGCGTATTGGTGATATTTCTTAGGTGTGAAACCATATACTTGTCTCAGCTGAAATACATCCTATTATTTTTTCAGAGCAGTTCTCAAGTTTCTCAAGATCACTTTGAATTGTAAACCAGGCCTCTTAGATGTCACACCAGGCCTCTTACACTGCAAATGTGTGATTTGTACTCTTGGTTCTATCATCCACACCATTAGTGAAAATACTGAATAATGCCAGAGTCAGGGCAGGTCCCTTCAGAATTTCGCCTGATGAATCCCTCTGGCTTGGCATGTGTTCTTGATAAGTATTCTGTGAGCAGTTTTCTAACCAGTATGACATCCACCCAATGGCAATTACATCTAGATCATATTTCCTTAAATTATTTGTGAGGACGACATGAGAACCAGTGACAAAACCATAGTGAAGCCCAGATTTATGACATGTTGCTTCTTCATCTATGGGCCTATTATGCTGGGACAAAGATGATTGGATTAGTATGACACAATTGCCTCATCTAAGTCAACCTTTCTAGTGAAGCCTGATGCAAAAATGACATTAAACAGTTTGTTCTGTTATCTCCTGATAGCTTTACCTCTTTATCCAATTACATTGTATCTAAAAAAATAGAGGAACTGACTTGGCATCCCAAATGGGGCACTCTCTGAATTTGTTCAAAGAATGCTGGACTTCAGCAGGCATGCTACAATTCTTAAAACTGGGAGAAGACAACTGGTGACAGCAGGTAGTAATCTTAGCAGAAATTCAGCTTCTCCCGGCTGTCAGTATCACACACCCACACAGTTCATCTCAAGGAAACATGCTGTGTATTCACTTTGCCATGAATTGCTGAATATCCACCATTCTCTTTCACCTCTTTATCCAAACTTGAATAATTATTCACTCAGTAGAAGAAGTACGTTTTGTAAAAGGTAGTGGACACATTTTACTCATTTTAACAGAATCACTTTTGACTCTGTGCTGTATTCAAGAAGTGTATTTGTGTATTGGCATTAAAAACACATCCGTATAATAGTCTCTGTAAGTGCCTATCTTATGTTCACCCTCCTGATAAAAGAGGCTCAGATGATGTGTGCATATTTTATAACAGTGATCTACAGGTTTGTTCAAGAAAAAACAGTTAAAGGTCACAATTGGAACTGGTTTATAACACTTTGAAAGATATTACTGTTCTTTGAGTGATTTGGAGGGATCTTGTTCACTTCCACCAAATGTTCAGCTGACTCTGCAGCAGGGGAGCAAGAACATAAGTGAGATGGCTTCCTGTGGCTGCTGAGTCTGTGGTGGAATGAAAAGCTTAGCTCTCAACTAAGGCAAAGCAGGGACATGAATCAGGTTTTTTTTGATCTAGGTCATTATCTTCTAACTACAATGTGTGAAGAGTATGTTATTTTGTATGCTTGCTTGTAAAAGCTCTGAAAAGTTTTTCATGTGCTCCATCAGGAGAGTGGGGTTTGTTTTCTTTGTAACCTACCAAATTGTAATAAAACAGAGTTTTCCTCTTTTCTGTAGTTACATGACACACTGCAACCTACAAAGCAGGAAGTGTTAAATAATTTTCAAAGGGAGGTTCTTACCTTAAAAAGGGTGTCTGGCTTGCCTCTGTCTCAGACAGAAGGAGTTTTCGGTAACACAAACAATTGCTTGAGCGTACTTTGCTTCTTTCCGTTGCTTTTCTTTCCTTCCTGATTCCCCGTATGTGTTAAGAATTTTTGTAGCATGGATCTGGCCAGTAATTTTTTTTTTTTTTTTTTTTTTTGGGGGGGGAAATGTCAGGAGAGAAAAAATGCATGTCAGTGTAAGACTTGGAGAGAATAATCCTAAGTTTATATGAAAGTCAGTTCCTTTGAGTGGAGCCAGGGGCAAAGGTAGGAAAAAGGCCAGTTCTTTGGGTTGAGATCTCATTGGTGAATAATACACCAGTGAGAGAAGAGTCAAAATCTTCACCAAGTAGTTACTCCCTATGTGTCCTCTATTTTTATCATGTGTACAATTTGTTCTGACATTAAAATGTCAGTATCTGTGATAGCGAATTGACTGAAACTTGGAAGGGGCTGAAATGAAAACACCAATCTCACATGGTAAGTCAAGTTGCAAATGAGACAATGCAAATAATCCCAGTGTTGGGAGACTCCCAGCTATGAGGGATAAATAGCCTTCTGAAGAGTTAATTCAAGGAAATTAAAGAAAAAAATACATACTGGTTTTTTTTAATAGAAGAAAGAAAAATATCAAAAATGTAACTTCTCCTCTCACTTAATTTTAACTCTATTATCTGCTACTGCAGTAAAAAACATTTTGTCTTAGAAGTAATGAAAAAATCATTTTCTTCTGGTGGACAAAATAAGCCTGCACTCATGTAATAGCAGTCATTCAATTTAGATCTTTATTTCACACTTACCATTATGTTGTCTGTTTTGATACAAAATCATATCTGCACTTAAAAGGCTGTGTATACAATTGTTTTATTTTGTTGCTGTAAATGGTTTTAAAGCAGTAAGAGGAAAATGAAAGAAGAGTCAAGGTCAGAATTGTAGTTTCCTTTGCCCCTTTGTTCCAGTGGATAATGTGTCTCATTCCACCTGAAACTCAGTATTGTTGGCACATAGCAGGATACTGTATGTCACTGTTCCCTCATTAAAATGTCATCTTTCTAGTGGTTTCCAGATCTAGGCCTGTGTTCTTGAACTCAAAACAGTATTGAAGCTGGGGGCTACGAAATACCATAAGCATCCACCAATCAGCAAATACATATTAGATTATAAAAAAGGGGTACTTCAGTTCTCTTGACTCTGTAGCCCAACTCTTATTTTTCACTGTTTCATACCTTTCCCAGCAAGCTTATCCTGCAGCCATGAGGAAAATGTGTCTTGGTCTTCTCTGATCTGTTTTAGGTTGTTTTTTTTTAACAAAACAGGAAAAGCATTTCTTAAAATAGTTACACTTTCTAATTCTGTGACTGCAATTATAACATAGTTACACTTTGGGAGACCCGTAATTTCCAGTAATTCATATAAATGGGAAAATTAACCTTGTGACAGAGTGATTCCAGCATAAATAAAATCTCTGAAATGGCATGGCTTGAAAAACATAGCACTACATATTAAACTGCTTATCCATTATACTAATCATAAGTAATTCAGCCACTGCCTTGACTTTCTGTTTTATGGATAGTATATAATGTTTTATAAACAAGAATAAGTCACAAAATATTTATTGTTTAATTGCAGTATAATTGCAGTGTGTTAGTAGTTGCTGTATGTAACTGTGAGTTCCTCAAGGCCTGCAATGCAAGGGCTGGACCACTTCACAGAGAAGGTCCCAGATAAAAACCGCCACGGCAGTAGAGCCATCAAGACAAACAGGCCAAAAGGTCTCCTCACTTCCTGTGGTAGAAAGTATTGTGAAGGGCCAGGACGGGCATATGGCCACAAAATATCTTGGCCCCTGTCTGCTTTCTGGCCTGTTTCTGACACAGGAAGTATATCTGACCCTTGTCTGGAGCAGGCTGATAATCTTGCTCATAAAGAATATTAAGTAAAATGTTTCTCTCACCATGCTGCATTTTCAGAGGTTGTTTCACTCTTTATATATTAAATACTTCACTAATGCTTAAATGTAGGAAGAATACATGCATAGAGTATAGATCAAATCTTCTGATTCCGTAGTCTGAACTTGCACAAAACACACTGCTTTTCTAGCTATACTCATCCTCTACTTGAAACAGGTTTAGCAGGTGGAATGGTTGCAAACAGTCCAATCTGGAGCCGCAGCCAAATACAGGCCTGTGTCCTGCCTGAGCCCAGGTTGGATGTGGCTTTATTTGAATACTGGAAGTTTTCCTGTTGACATTTGAGATACTTTTTTGGTAACCTTATTCACATACTGATTTCTGACACGTTCATCTGTTTATTTATCTTTTTCAAAGACAGAAGATGCATATTTGAACAAAAAGGTCCTTCTCAGTTTTAAAAATTATATTATAGAACCTTCTCAGGAGAGAGGGCAAACATACCTGAAAGTTTTAGGACAATTAAACCTTTTCATTTATTCTTTCGTACCGGAAAGAATATTGCATTTCATAACCTGCATATACTTAAAAACACTTAGGCTCCTTCATCCCTAAGAAACTCTATCAGTCATATTTCATAAAGGCTCTTAGGAAGACTTCATTCTTCTTTATTTCATTATGTTAATATTAATGGTTTTGGGGTCACCACTCTCCCCATTACTCTGATGTAATTTATTTGGCCCAACCCAATGATAGCATACAGATTTTGAAATTCCGAAGTGCTCAGGCTGGAACAGTTGGCTCAGGCCACAGTAAGTTTAAACTATATATTTAATAATACCCACTGATTTTGTTTAAAAAACAAAAAACACTCTGAGATAGATGTTTTGCTAATCAAATTATTTTATGTTTCAGGCCAAGATGACTCAACTGCCAGAGGCTGAAAAGGAAAAGATAGCTGAGCAAGTGGCTGACTTCAAAAAAGTCAAGAGTAAGCTTGATGCAGAGATTGAAATATGGGACGATACCAGCAATGACATCATTGTTTTGGCCAAGAGGATGTGTGTGATTATGATGGAGATGACTGACTTCACAAGGTAATTATACAAAAAAAGGGTCTTCAATATTTATAAATATTGGAGGCCATTGTTATATTGTTACAGCAGGAAATACTGGGTTTTTAATGTCAGGTGACAGCATCTTTACAAAATTGAGTGGCTAAGCTAATGTAGTAAACTTTAGCACACCAGCTAGTAGTACTGAAATGTTGGAAAGGAGGTTTGAAGTTTTGAACCATGCATGTCCTTAATTTTTTTTTCCTTTGTCCTTTTTTATTCATTTGGTTGGTTGAAGGTTTTGCACATTTTTTAGCGCTTTATTTCTGCTCTCAATGAAAGGGGGGAAAGTAACAAAATAATCTTGATTCTAAGTTGTAGTTCTGTCTCATCTATTGTTCCTTCTACTTGTACCATACCATGCTGTCAAGCATAAAACATACTGTACAGACCATATGTACAGACACATTCAGACTCATGCATATTTTATATCACATTACTTGCTGTTGCTTTCATTAGAACTGTATCATGCTGCTATACGTAGTTTTAAAGAATGAAGCACCCTATAGCACATAGCTGCCAAAGCTGGTATTTTTCTCTGCTGCCAGTATATGTTCTATGATACTTGTATATAGGAAACAATCTTAAGTTCAGGAGCTTTTTCTGCCATGCACTGAATAAATGTTTAGTAAATTTCATCAATTAATTGTACCAAAGGGAGGTGCTGGTGGGCTTTTTTTTCCCATCTGGTTGTTGCGAATGAGCAGTTTGAACCACTTAAAAGAATTCACCATCAAAGGTATCAGCAAGAATGATTTAATAGGAATTTATAAAAGCATGACCTCACAGAGTTCAATGGCAAGTGGCAAGGTTCGCTCTATTACTTAAGTGCACAAAGGAAAATGAAGTTAGAATCATACTAGAATCCAGAGACTGAAAACACCAAAGTGTGGGGGATAAACATACAAAGAAAGATTAAGTTAGATTTGATTTTTCATGATTTGTACAAATATTGGGGATACAGAAAGGTAGGGGAGACCCTCCCATTGGGTCACGAGGTTCAGAGAAGACCCCCTTGCTTTCTAAACTCCTGCTGGAGTTTAGGTGTGCTTGGATCTACTCCTAGTCCCAGACTTGGTCAATGGCTTATGTCTAAGGGATTATGTGTGTAGCAGCAGTCTGAGGTTCATTTAGAGTTTGAGGTAAATGACAAGATTTAGTAACACTTAATCACTGATTAACAATTACAAAGCAATTCAATAGACTATGCCTAGGTTAATTCACGCATGTGCACACAAAGATACAAAGATAGATATATATAAAAACAGAGGTATACCTGTTAAAAAATTCCCCTCGAATTCAGTGAAATATTCATGTCAAATGTCTCAGCATTTTTCAACGGGCAAAGGGTTGAGCCTCAAGGAGTAAAGGGTATGAGCCCAGGTCCCATTGTCAGCTTTCGGCAACCGTCCTCCGATTTTTGCAGTAAGTCATGATCTAAGCAACAGGAGTCTCAGGCACAGTTCCAGGTGACAGGAGCCCTGGGTGCAGTTAGGGTGTGCCTAATGGTTCTGACTCACTGTACCATAGCCAGGATAAGAAAGTATTGAGCTGTCCCAACTCACTGTGTGAAAACACAGTGTTGGCTGGTCCTGACATCGCAACGTGGCAGGGGGGAAGGGAGGGGGCTGCACCACGACACTGGTTACTAATAAAATAGTTGCTGATAGGTAGGTGAAGCCTTAAAACACAACCACTCTTGCAAGACACTTCACATCTCATAAAATAAGTCCTTTCATGTAAGATACAAAGAAAAACCTAAGCCTCTTGGACAAATTCTTCAGGTGTGTAAATTAACAGAGATGCATAGAGCTGAACCAGCTAACAAAGCTGGGGTCTGGCTTAGGCCTGTTCTGGTGAAGACAGTTGTTGCATTTTATCATGCTAGCACTTCCCAAATTCACCTTTGTGTGAGAGAGATTTGAAGACTTGCATGTTGAACTCTGGAATCCTTTTATTCGTTTTAAGAGTATATGATTTATATTGAGACCTTTGAAAAAGAACATATTGTGCCATAAAGTCAGTCTTTACAATTAAAGTCACCTCGCTCACCAGAGTTCTTTAAATTATTAGCTTTAGATTAATCAAGATTAACAAGGCCAGTTCATAGTCTTAGTTTTGCATCTGTGGCTGTCTGTTGAACACAGCATAATCTGCAGTTCCGAGTCAAAGAGCAGCTCTTGTCCAGTGTTGCTGATATCCAGAGAGTCTACAGAGAACTCTGAAATTACTCATGTCAAATAACTTGAAGGTAAAATTAAAATCTATTGGGAAGAGAGAGCAGAAATGCTAGCCTTTACTTCAGAGTATGGTAAGGAACTACATTATTGGAAGATGGATTTTGATTATTCTCTCCCAAATTTTAGGAAATACATTACTCTTTTTACTTCATAGATACTTAGACTATAATTTGAGATATGCAAGTATATACAAGTATATACTGCTGTATTATGAGTTTGATGCTCAAGTTGTAATTTCTTGGGGGTAGGACTATCCTACCAAGTCTTTTGTTGAGTTTCTAGGACTGTTAGTAACAGAAACCAAGGTCATCCTGTAAGACAATAATGGTCTTACGAGATACTTCTGTATCTTACATAACTTTACCTCATGTCTTTATAAAACTGGTTTTGAGTACGTCCTTCAGCTATATGTTTTCAAGTTTTGTTTCTTCCTTAAGGATGCCAGACAAGGTCTTGTAAAGTAAAGGTTTGTATCTGTCCAAACAATAGGTGAACTCAGGTGGATCTTCCCCTTCCTCTTACTGTTGCTCTATCAAAGGTAGCAGTTAAGTGCTGAGGAACACAGCTGGCTTTCTCACTTCCTTCTCTGTGAAAATCTGGGGATGAATAGTGCAGACGCCACAGCAAGCACCGGCTCACCTCACCCTTAGGGTTTGAGCTCTCTACTCTGTAATTCCAAGTTCTTGGACATGGAAGAAATAAAAGATTCTGAAATTTTATATTTGTTACATCAGAAGCTTCCCAGGCAAATAGTAAATTTCCTTATTTGAGTCATTTGTTACCTAAGCTGGTTTCTGTTTTCCTACAAAGGTATTACCTTGCATTAATTTTTATTTAATCTCAATGAGCGCTTTCCAAAGCTTTAGTTTTTCAAGGTCATCTTAGCATCTTAGTGTGTTTGCCTGTGTGTATTACCATGAACATTTATGCAACAGTTATATATTCAACTGAAAACAAGTTAACGTTGGTATCAAAATAATTCATTATTCAGACAGAAGATAACGGGAATGATGATGGCATAAAGTATCGATGTGTATGCCTCAGATCATTAACAAAAATACTTTGGGATGACTTCAGTGAAGGCCAGTGATAATCTGTGATTGCTCAGCGGGAGTTAGGACCGGTGTAAAGAGTAATCATGTGAAGTAGCTTATTATGGCTTAGCTTCCTTATTAGATTATACAGGCAGCTGCCTCTGCGCTTTTTTGAGTCTTCGCAGAAGGGAACTGCAGAACCTCATTTGAAACAATTCTTACCCTACTGAACATTCATGAGCATGTCCTCTGCAGATAGACACTAGGCCAGGCTACTGTAATTTTATGTAGCATATTTTTCCAGCTTTCTTTAAACTTTGTATGTGCTACATGACATAAGCTTACTAAAACTTGATGAACTTTGCTCCAGTGAACCATCCTATAAATCATTGTCATAGAAAACTTATACTTGACAGATGGAAAAGTAATTGAGCAAGAGCAGAAATCTACTGTTAGAAGTTTGTAGCAGCTAGCAGCAGCTGCTAATCGGTGGTATGAACATGATAATTAGGCCTGTTTATGCAAAACTGGTTATACTGATTACTGGAATCGGTTAAAAATTCCATTTTATTTGCAGTAGTAAGCTTTGGCCCTGACAGGCAGAGGTGGAGGCAGTGGATAACAGACATTTGCTCTGCTGAAAGTGTGACCCCCTGTTCCTGTTTGGACTCCACCAGACTTCTTGGTTGTTGGGCGATAACATAAGACGTTCCTGCCAATTTTATTCTGTCTGTTCACTGAAGGTTGTTGCTGCTAAAAATGAGGGAATTTGGCAAAGGTTTCTTTCCTGAATTTTACTTTGCTGAAAATGAACTGGACTGTAGTTTTAGTTTCTTTAGGGGAGGCTACAGTGAATAAGGGAAAAAGAACAAGGAGTATGAAATTGTTCCTATATTGCCATGGCTTCAATAGCAAAGGCATTCAGCAAAGCTGAGAAACAAATGAGGTATCAGTGGGTCTGCTGATGTTTTCTGTCTGTCTTCAGCCTGTAGCTGCAGCACCATTTCTTTCTCCTGAAATACCATCCTGGCTCTGCTAGCTTCCACAGCGTTGACCAGAAACCTGTACTTCTCCCTCTGTCTGTATGCAGAAATGAGCAGAGTCTGGGAGATGGTTCCCTTGTGCCTGTCACTCATCATCCTCTTCTGAATATACAGGAGAGGTGCTTTTTCACTTCTCTGTTCAAAGGGGCTGGACATTTTCAGAGCACCTTATTGGGTCAGGATCTGTCCAGAGTGCGTATCTGCATCTCCTTTGAAAGCCTGCTGTGCAGAACTGTACAGAACAGAGTTTATTTGGTTTTCTGATACCTTAGGGATTCACTCAAGATAGCAGGACATTTGGTTTCTTTGGCTAGAGGGGGTTTAAACTTACTTTTCACCTTGCAGAGTATTAGGCTATAAATTACTGGGAATTGTGGGATTTACTTTAACACCATCCCGTGGATACTTCCCTATGCAGAAGAGGAGTTTGCTTGGCTAGTGTTTAGGGATTGCAGTTGCTGTTCCAAAAACTGCATATGTATTTGTTAAATATTCATCAGATAGTTTGAGGACAGGAAGATGAATATTAGGTTCCTCCTTTCCACAAAGCCATCATTTCTGTAGTCCTCACACACAGTGTACCCTGTAGCTCACTTCTTAGTGAGCGGTGGCAATAGACATGGATTGATATTTCTGTGCACTGAAGTCATACTTGGCCTAAATTG